GATCTTCTATCCGGGTTGACTTCTCCCTACATGAACGAAATAAAATTTACAATCAGTCGTATTATTACCCTACTAGATATCTCACATAGTATCAACAAATACAATATTGATAAATATCGACAGTTTAATATCTCCACAACTCTAGAATATTATATACATACCTCTGCAGTTGTCTGAATTCACCAACTGGTCCTTGCTTTTGTCCCAAAACAAGTCTGCTCTGAATTCGTACGCTGCTACATGATCGTCAACATCTTAACTTATTTTCCGTTCCACACATTGGTTACTATTGTTCTTATTCTCCGTCTGTTTCCCGAAGGACTCCTGAATATTCAGCTAACATCCCTACATCTATAAAGATATGAATTTATGTGGAATATGTTTTGCTTTTAAATTTTTAGAACCACAATAAATCTAAGCCTTTTTTCAACTAGAAACAATGACGTTTACAAAGAACCGTGTTGAAGGCGCACTCTAAAATCTGATTATTGGGCACCCTTTTTCATCCGTATGAACAAAATTAAATAGCGAAATTTTGCGAACAAACATCGAATACAGTGAACACATATACGACCTGCAGTTCATTCCAAACAATATCTTTAACAAAATTATAAATACCACGCATTTCACGCGACAAAATTTCCCTGTCTTATAAAAAAATAAATGCTTTACATGACAAGACATCGCCGCCTTATAAAAACCCCATTTTTCATGTGAAAAGATACCGACTTCTTAAACAAAATTACATGCTTCATGTGATAAAATATTTTCATTTTGAAAAACCACATGTTTCATGTGACAAGATATCACCGTAATGTGAGAACCACATACTCAATGTGACAAAATTTCGATCGCATAAGTTCAGCTTCTGCGGTCCAATTAAGAGCCTCAATTGGACTGCAGTTACGTGAGACCCTACGAGGAATTCGAGTGCTTCATTTGAAGGGCTATCGAAGGAACAAGTTTGGCATCTTTAAGGAAGGGCCGGAGAGTAATTTTGTATGATAACTGCCACAAAGGTTTTACAGTTGCGGATGAGCGTAAAGGAATCAGGGAATGCTGTTGAAGAAAAGCTTTAAGTTATTAAACTTATTATTATCTATATCGTGTTTCAGTTCGCAAGCTAGTAATCTAGCTGTGAAGAGTTGTGTTATCTCTAGATTAAGAAGGCTGAGAGGAAGAACTCTTGATTTTCATAAAAACGAGTGTGTTTCGTTGTACATGTTTTAAATGACACAAGTTGGGCATTTAGGAGCTAGCACTGAAGAGATGAAAAAATTTCTGACAAACTCAAATCCTCTAATCTCTAATCTAAATATCTAACTCCATGTTTCAAAATCCTGAGGAAATTGAAAATCGTCAGGAATCGAAGAATAATCAGAAAGAAGCTGGATGGATCTCAATCGAAGGTTAATTTATGATAGATCTGATACATATTTGCATGAATTAGAAAGACAACAAAAAAATACTTTCTCGTGCGCAAACTCCCAACGTATTTGATAAAATATTGAACCGACAGTCAAACATGCCAAATCAACATCGTTATTAGCCTCAGGTATGACAAAAAAAAATTTTTGCCAAGCGCACAACTTCATAACGATACTCGTCTATCATGGTTCGACACATCGCTTGTCTTCTGATAAAGATTTCGGAACCAATTTCAAAGCTGGAAAATTTTTGCTACGAAACGATCACGTTTATAAAACAACGAACGCAGAATTACTCGCAGGTAATCTGGCTTTATAGGTCGTACGCCCGCAATATCAAAAATAGTAACGAGTTCGTAAGAAGGTCAGCCAATCACTGACAGCGTTTTTCAAGCTAAAACCACCAATCACAGACAAGATATCTAGTACATGTAGTAGTAATGTAAAAGTAGTGTAAAATCACGGAACAAACGCTTGATTCGCATAAGGCTGGCTTGTATTCCGCTTACTCCTGTAGCAAGGCTCAATACGGTGCATCTCCAAGGCGTTCCATTTGGGAAGGCCGCTGTCCAACCTGCCAAGATTGAAACACGCATTAGTGAACAGTCGCGTATCGGAAGACAGTGTTTGCTTTGCTNAAGATGAGACGGACGGTTGCCAACATATTAGATTGACGCCATTTTGTTGCAGCTTCATCAATTTCTTCGTCTTCTTTTCAAAATTCTCAAAGTTCTGCAAGTTTTTGCAGTGGTTAGAAATTAATAAACTGCAGCAACTATATATAGCTAGCATATGATACCTTTAGATGTTTATAGATCAATAAACTTTACAGTACCTATGAACTTCAAGCAGTGTCAAGAAGACTAACCCAATAGCGTGAGGCAGTAAGTTGGATTCAATAGAATTGTAGCTTTGCTGCCGTCTACACTGCATAAATTTGACAGAAGCTCAGGACACTTCTCGATCACAGGCTAAGTGGCCGAGCAGCGGTTGAACGAGCAAGGCGGTATTTTGCACCGTATTCGAATTATCTTTCATTAAGGAAATATCTCAGACATGTTCGCTACAACTCAAGAGTTCAGGGAATTTTTAAGAGTATATTTATCTTTTCATATTGGAAATTTTGCTTGAAAGAAAAGAGAATATTGAATTTTATTATAACCGCGTAGCGTTTAAGAACACAAGTTTGAACAGCTTCGTTTACACGATACGTTGCAATAATTGCCTGCATGGTTATATGGAAGTGACGTGGAAAAGAAAAACAAGCTTAAATTAAACTGAAATCAACTTTCCTTGAAACTTTCGAGGTATTTTAAATGTAATGCAAATGTTAAATCAAAACGAACTAATAAAACAACGTATGAATAATATAGCGTTTCAACACACATTATGTTGAAACTCGAATACCACTTTTGGCAGAACATAACTACTTAATTCTCAAAACCTTGCTTGAATTCATACCGTCACGCTAAAATCATGTCACTGCGTACACCACGAATCACATAGCAGCATCATGCGTGGAGTGATTATAGCTGCATGAGATGCATGAAATGAGTATACGTGAGCTTCGAGGAGTGAATATACTTGAGTTGCATGCAGTGAGTTTACGTGAGCTGCATGCAGTGAATACACGTGAGCTGCATGCAGTGAGTTTAAGTGAGCTGCATGCAGCGAGTTTACGTGAGCTACGTGGGGTGAATGTACGTTTCTTGGGAAGAGGCTGGATTGCGTGAGCGTACAGGGTCTGGATTGCGTGGAGAGTGCAGTGTCTGGATTGCGTGAGCGTGCAGGGTCTGGACTGTGTGAGCGTGCAGGGTCTGGATTGCGTGAGCGTGCAAGGTCTGGATCTGTCTCTTATACACATCTATATCGCACTGATGCNGTTTCCTTAATATCAGCTTCTGTGTCAAGTTAGAGTAAAATTCTCTGCGGTGTATTTGTTTTTGGCTAAATTTGGTTAATTTATATTTATGATTGATTTATCATTATAATCACTCACAGACATCGAAGAGGTTTTTAAAGAGGATGTTGGTGGCATTTTTCGAGCGCACTGCACCCACTTCCAAAAAGGCGAAACCAGCTTGCAAAACTGAAATAAAAAAAATATATCTAGACATAAAGACGTACCTCATTAAGTCTTGACATTTGAAGTTACTAAAGGTACAGCAAAAATTTATAATTAATTTACCTCAAATTTTGCAGAGAACCAAAAAAGCTAAGAGTGTGAAACAGTTTGTATACAGAACGAATGTGCAAATTATTTAGATTCTAGTTAAAATGATTAATTAAATAACAATGCGTGATGATCAGTCAAAGATTTGTATAAAATGAAAATAATTCTGGTTCTTTGTCCTATGGTTAGCTGGTCTCGTCAATAAATAATAAACTGTATCGATAGAAAGAATTTCTGATTACGTAGATGTTGTGGAAATTTGAACAGTTGTTTTTAGATGAATACGTTAATGTACAATCTTTTCCAGTCAAGATATAATATATTTTGCAAGCAATGTAGACCCTTTGCTGCAGTAGACCAGCAACTGGCTCGTGGATATTTATTTGGATAGCGTTAAAGTTTCCAGTTACAGTAAATCAACGCAATTATTGTACATTGAGTCATCGTAATTATCATTTAAATATCATAGTGGAAGTTATTGAAATAAATATACAATTGTAAGAGGTAGCTTTAGCAGTTAGAGAACAATTCTACGTGAAAATGGTTCATCTCTGTTGAGATGAACCATTTCCTCTACTACACCACGGGCAGATATCACTCTATCCGTGGCCTATTGCTACACTGGTTCCTGGAATTTTTTTCTTCAGAACCAACTGTATATATATTTAGTTAAATGAACATTGAATGTCAATAATATTTATAATGCATAGCTTGAGTATAAGTTTTATAGGTCACATTCTAATTCAAATGAGACTTAATCTTATTGACATTTTGTTCCGAGTCCTTTGAAATGTCGAAACAATATGCATGCAATGAATTTTTTAAAATTTTATGTGGGAGAAAGGGAGAACTAAATAGAATAATTGATGGAAACAATTAAAGAAAACTTTTACATCAAAGAGGGGCGTAGATTTCTGAATGAACTGTATAACGTACGAATTAAAACTTTCTCCTATTTAGCCATGCGTGCAAAGAGTGGGGAAAACTACAGCTTATTTTTCTTATTCAGTCACATTTCTGCTGGGGACGTGGAAACTAACACGCTATCATACAAACCCTATCGAAACTTTTATTCCTGTCAGACGCTAGCACTAGGACCTGTCTCTTATACACATCTNAAGCATTTCTAACGTCTGATACCATTCCAATATTGCTGAGCTCGATGGAAATTTCCTGAATCTATCCTCGTATAATTTGTAGTTCTTCAGAAATAACCAAATTCATACTTGTACACAAATGTAACTCCACAATGAAACCTGATGATACAACGAAAGAGGCAGATAGAACAGAACAAAAGCAACTAACTTACTTGCGAATACTAATCATAATACGCTCTGCAACGTTTGCCATCGTGTTCCCCGCCCAGTGGTATCGACTGTTGGTTAGGTAGGCATACGTAGCATCGTAAGCAATGATAAACTTTCGAGTTTCGACCACACAAATTGATCCAGTTCACGTGTTGATTTTGAAATTAGAACCTTAAGCATATGAACAGGAGCAGCTTAAATAACATGCTCGTGTCGACATGTCCTAAGTTGAAAATTTCTACCGCTGCCAAAATCTTGAACACACAAATGCGTAGTCATGATGAATGTCGCCTGCCGACGGGAGAACTTGAGAAGTACCTATTGGCTATTGCAACGAACTGATCAAAAACCACTGATGTAGAGCATATTAATCAAGTTGAAATCTTCTATTATTGTCGAAAAACGAACTTGCATCGTATAATTGCTGTGTTTTGAAAGAAGTGATCTACAAACAATTCGAAATCAAGGACTTCCACAAGCACTCAAAATATTCATTTTCATCCTGTTTTTTTTATAATTGGTTTTTAAGACTTGGGGTGTACGAAGCACCTCCCAGCCTGTTCCCTGTCAAAGATTTTCATCCTGCTCAATGTCTACAAGTGCAATGGTATTTACCATCAAATTGTTTAAAGCTCTCTGAAGGAAACAAAACTATAGCTAGGTAATACCTTTTCGATAAGCATTGGGCACTCTTCACTAGGTACTGATTCACGGTTAGTTCTAAACTGGCGACTTGCTGGTTGCTGCAAGCCTGCAACGGCTAATGCACTGTCCGGATGGGGGGTGCGGGAGGTAGACCCCCACATACCCCCGCATGGCGGGAACTTCTTAGCACGCTCGCGCTAAAAACTCATGCCAGCTACTGAGCAGGGTCAGCCAATGGTGCCTGACCAGCCACTGATTTCGTGTGTCATTTGACCCTTATATTTTTTCCCACGAAACTACTCAAAATAGCTCCTATTTGGCGGCTAAATAGAAGAGGCGGCCATTTCGCATCTGATTCATCTCTAATCCGAGAGTCGCAACCGAAATGGGAACCCGCGCGTAAATTTTGCCAGGGAAGTCACGATTTGACAGGGAAGGACAGCCGCGCGTAAATTTTGACAGGGAAGTTAAAATTGATTACATACGAGCTGATAACTAATATCAGTTTTCATAACTAATATAATATATTAGTATAAGTATATAATATATTATATTAGTATATATTTATATATTATATATTTGTTCTAATTATATTAGTTATGATAACTAATATCAGTTATCATTCCGTAGTTAGTTTAGCAAGTTATAATTTATCAACTGAAGGCCCTCACTAAATTTTAAATTGAAGGCCACACTGAATTTCCGACTGAAGGCCACACTGAATTTTCAACTGAAGGCCACTGACTTTTTAACTGAAGGCCCTCACTGTATTTTCTACTGAAGGCCTACACTGAATTTTCAACTGATGCCTACACTGAATTTTCTAATGAAGGCCCACGCTGATAGGCCTACACTGAATTTTCTAATGAAGGCCCACGCTGAATTTTCAACTGAAGGCCCACACTGAATTTTCAACTGAAGGCCCACACTGAATTTTCACCTGAAGGCCCACACTGAATTTTCAACTGGAGTTCCACACTGAATTTTCATCTGAAGGCTCACACTGAATTTTCAGTTGAAGGTCAACACTAAAATTACAATAGAAGCGATACTGAGAAAAATTACTGGGCAATTTTGTCTAAATAATAACACAGTTGTTGAATTTTCAACTGAAGGCCCATGCCGAAGCTTCAACTGAAGGCCCACACTGAATTTACACTGGAAGCTGACACTGAGAAAAATTAACGGGTCATCTTTTCTAAATAGTAACACAGTTTATGCATATAGCGCTGATGCACCTATAATTATGCCGGGCCAAACTCGGTGCGGATGTCCCATGCACACATGGGCAAACAGTGCATCGCTCTTAGGACAAAGTTTCCTCATTTCTTTGAGTGAACCATGTCATGACGCATCACTTCCTGGCATTGCTAATACCTGCATAGAAGTTATGATGTTCCTTCGTATTATCATATGCAACGAGGTGCAATCTTCAACGGTGGACGAAGCATTATTTTATTTCTAAACATTATCATAGATCTGTAACATGTTTTCTTGTGGTGGTTGCCTGTAATGACAAACTCTTCATATATAATCTATAATCTTCAATAAATTCTTGTCTAATGTCCAAATTGCCCATATGCATATATTATTTTGCTTCTTAATGCTTAGCTGATAATGATTACTATTTGTTTAGCTCAAAGATTTGGAAATATCTCATCTGCAATCATGACAGTAAATATTCAAGGACAATCAATACAGTAATTGTGCGGTGCATATATATAAAAGCTGGTCATGCATGGTTACCAGAGATCGCCTGTACAATAGACAAGTTTTGTGGAGATCTTAATTGTTGCGGAAGCCACGCAAGGGCCATGTGTGACTGCCTCACAGCACTGTTCAATGAATAATAATAATTCATCAACAATAATGCTTAAATATTTGAATCCGAAGAGTCGCTGTCAAATTATATTGCATCCGTAACACGTTTGCAGCCTAAATTTCACGCAGTTTCGCTCACTCAAAAAATATCTTCATCCACCTGTAGCGAAGGACTCATCGGCTGGCTGAGGTCCCCACAACACAACATGAACAGATGATCGTCATTTGATATGCCAGCAAAATGACCGGGAGGGCGCAGATTGTAGCCTTGCTTCGCTGCATCATTTGACGGACAGGTTTCAATTTTCCTACAAGGTCACATCGAACCCGTCAATCACACTTACCGGTGAAACGGTCGAGTTTTTTACTGGCTTGAATAAACGATATTTTCGTCTTTTATGGTATGCATGTGACTCAATACAAAGTGTCTTTGACCTGCATGCAAGTGTTCCCAGGACTGCACTTTAATGGCGTTTAGATTGTCAAGTCTTGACGATTGAGTAACGGAATGACACCATGCCAATAACATACCACAATGATGTAGCAGCAGTGGAAATTATTTTTCCGGAACTATTACAAAATAATAATAACTACAGTATGAATACAAAATAATGACATTCATAGTGACAGTCCCAGTTCCTATAGCGTGTTAGTTGCTAATGATTTTGTGTTTGAATGCGCATTAAAAAAAACTTCTTCACCAAAACGAATCTTGAACGATTTATTTCAACGGCTTCAACTTTGTTATGCTAATAATTTATTATTCATTAACTAATTTAAATGATTTGTATTATCGTTGTTGATTTAAAAAAATTAGGATCCCCAAGCAACATCAAATTTATTTTTTCTTAAGAATTAATAAATCACTCACGAGTCTCAATGAATATTGTTATATTCGACGTACATACTTGGTCTCCATTGCCAAATGTTTTTTTGCTATATTCGTAATTAGTACCATAATAGAAGTCTATTAAACATTGCAGAAAAACAAGAAGTATTATGGCCGCAGCGCAGGTATTTTTCTTTCACGTAAAACATAATACAACTCCAACGAGTCGAAGGAAAATAGGAAGGAGGAAAAACGACGAAGGAAAATATTTTCATCGACATATTTTTCTTTGAAAATTATTGAAATAAATTAAACTTATCTCCTATGAAATATATTTAAATAAATTCACAAAAAAGCTTTTATACTCATAAACATACTCAGAAAAGACGATGAAGGAAATTGTCACAATCGAGTTTATTTTTTTCTTTGAAATTCTAAATCACCGTTCACTCACGAGTCCTCAATGAATATTCTTATATGCGACTTATATACTTGACCGTCATTGCCAAATGGTTAATTGCTTATGTTCGTAATTTGTATCATTACAGAAGGCTATTAAACCTTGTCGAAAAACAAGAAGTATTATGGCCGCAGCTTAGTTATTTTTCCAGCTGGCAAAACGTAACACAACTTCAACGAGTCCAGCCATGACAGAACTCAAGAAAAAAGACGAGTGAAAAGATATTCATCTATTTTCCTCAACAATTATTGAAACAAAAGAAAACTTATCTTTTATGAAATATAGTTAAATAAATTCACAAAATAGCTTATAGACGCATTAACATACTCACAGAAGACGATGAAGGAAATTGTCACAAGGAAAAACACGTCGAGGTTTTCTTTAAGCACGGCGATCTCATCGTCAATCTTGGAGATGTTCTTGAACGCTTGCGTCTCTCCGAACAGCGGCAGCAGCTTCGGCATCGCCATCGTCGGCTCTCGTCTCTTGTCGTCACTCATGTTCGCTTAGTAATTAACTTATTGAGCATAAGAGATATGATATGCAGTACCGAATAAATATAAGTGGCTATTACTCACAGGCATCACGAGTATATTTCATCATTAAATTCTGTGTGGGTTATGATGAATTAGAAAATCTATGCAAATTGTCACTAAAATCTCAGTCGGCAATCGAATCGAACAATCTGAGTAAATCCGGGCTTTGTCAATTCCAGTCCATTATTGCAAAATTAATTTTTTTTTAACATTTGAGAGCTCATTTATCGGCAAAATTTTTTTCGATAATTCGTTCCGATGACGTCATAGGTTTTTCACAATCTGTGAAATACTTATTCAACGATTGTTTCTTGCAAATGTAAAAATTGTAAACGAATTTCATGTCACGAATAATGTGAATAATGCACCCAGACCTAATAGACCATACTATTTGCTTTCAATTCGAGTGATCTATTGTGTTTCTTTATTTCTCGTACATTTAGTTAGAATAATCGTGAAAGTATTTTATATAACACTCCCAAATTATGGCAATCGATTAGCCATTTTTTCCATTAATAGGAAACAAATTTCATGCACATTTCAAAAAGATATGAGAAGACAAACAGTATAAAATTGCAATTCTTCATACTGATCTTTTCATAGCTATTGCATGCTGTTGCGGACTATTCAGTGCTTTTCAGTGCAACTGTTATCTATGGCAGGATTAATTGAATACGCGTGCATCCATGGGTTCATTAGTGCTTTATATTCCCAGAAGACACGGTTCCTGGAAAGAGACCGGTACAAATACAAAATTTACTTAAAGAAAAAAGGTTATTGAATTTATAAACAATATTCGAAAATATTCAAGTAATTACAAAGGCTTTCGAAAAACAAATTTCTAAAAACAAAGAAATGTTCAAACATGGGAACTAGGCTCACCGAAATTCGTTTTCTGATCTTAGTTCGATCTATACTCCGCAGCCGACAGATGACGAATGAACGAAAACGTTTCGCAAGACCACAGAATTAAGCTACTATCCTAAGACAATGTGTTGCGTTCACAACACATACATACTACGAAATAAAATAAAGCGTAATGATGATAAATTAACCATACACATGATATTTTATGGAATATATGTTTCGAAATTCTGAAACAGAAAAACCTATTTCAAACCTAACAGAAAAATCGTAAGAAAAAGAGCACCAAAATATCATTAGCCAAATCGTGACACAACCTCTCAATCCCAATAAAATAATTTCTCTGCAAGGTACACTACGTTGTTTATACGCTCATCAGTCACAAAACTCATTCTTTTACGCTGCCCTAACCGCATTAATTTATGCTTAATTTTAGGCAAGAAGTTGCCCACTCTGTCCGGCGCCCGAGACCCGACTGCCGCTGCGTGGTGCGTGCAGCTCGCGCGGTCAACTAGCGCTATGGCCGTGGCAGTGCTTATTACGGCCGTGGCAGTGCTTATTACGGCCGTGGCAGTGCTTATTACGGCCGTGGCAGTGCTTATTACAGACCGGGGCAGAGCTTCTTATGACGATGGCAGTGCTTATCACGGGCCGTGGCAGTGCTTATTACGGCCGTGGCAGTGCTTGTTACGGGCCGTGGCAGTGCTTATTACGGCCGTGGCAGTGCGTATTACGGCCGAGGCAGTGCTTATTACAGCCGTGACAGTGCTTATTACGGTCGTGGCAGTGCTTATTACGGCCGTGGCAGTGCATATTACAGACCGGGGCAGTGCTTTTTTCATGCCGTGGCAGTGCTTATAACGGCCGTGGCAGGGCTTATTACGGCCGTGGCAGGGCTTATTACGGCCGTGGCAGTGCTTATTACGGCCGTGGCAGCGCTCATTACGGCCGTGGCAGCGCTCATTACGGCCGTGGCAGTGCATGTTACGGGCCGTGGCAGAGCATATTGCGGGCAATGGTAGTGTATATACACATATCATAGCAACAGTAACGCCTATTGCTAATCGAAGAACTATAATGTAATTTTTACATTTTTCACACATGGCTTGCTATGCCTTTTCCTGGTCCTCGATATTGCCAATGCACTGGTTTTTTAAATACCATTTCAGGGCTATTATTACATTGCTAATAATTGCTGGCTATCTCAGACATGTTCGCTACAACTCAAGAGTTCACGGAATTTTTGAGAGTTTACTGCATACGAGTATATCTATTTTTATTGAAAATATTGGTTGGAAGAGAAGATAATATTGAATATTATTATAACCGCGTATATATATAGCGATTTACAACTCAAGTTGAAACAGATTCGTATACATGACACGTTGCAATAATGCGCTGGGTATCTGCAAGTAGCGTGTAAAAGAAAAAGCAAATTTAAATTGAACTGAAATGATTTATCGTTGAGACATTAGAGGTATTTTAAATGTAATACAAGTGTTAAATCGAAACGAAACTGATAACGCAACGTATAAAAATTATAACGTTTCACCACATATTATGGTGAAACTCGAGTAACTCTTTGTGTAGAACATAACAACTTCACTTTGAAAACCTTGCTTGAGTTCATACCGTCACGTTACAATTATGTCACTGAGTACTGAATGACGTAACAGCATCATGCATGGAGTGATTATACATAAGCTGCATGAGATGAGTATACATGAGCTTTGGGGAGTGAATATACGTGAGCTGCATGCAGTGAGTTCACGCGAGCTGCATGGAGTGAATATCGGCCTCACGATATTCACTGCCGATATTCACCCAGATCCGGGCAGATCGACCTCCCCTGCAACACTACCAGCGGCGAGAAGCAAGCAATAACATCGTGCATCAGGTGGCCCAAATGAGGGCGGATGAACGATAATCCGAGGCGGCGATCCATCGTGGCCTGGGACTGCTACGTCCGGAACAAATACCAAGGATACCAAGGAATATACGTGAGCTGCATGAGCTACGTGGGGTGAGCATACGTTAACTGGGGAAGAGCCAATTAATGCGCGATAACACAGGTCAGCTGGATTGCGTGCTCTTGAGCAGCATTGTGTGCAGAGCCTGGATTGCGTGAGCGTGCAGAGTCTGGATTGCGTGAGCGTGCAGGGTCTGGACTGCGTGGAGCGTGCAGGGTCTGGACTACGTGAGCGTGCAGGGTCTGGATTGCGTGAGCGTGCAGGGTCTGGATTGCGTGAGCGTGCAGGGTCAGGATTGCGTGAGCGTGCAGGGTCTAGATTACATGAGCGTGTGGGGTCTGGACTGCGTGAGCGGGCAGGGGCTGGATTACACGTTCGTGCAGAGGGTCGTTATTGGTCAGAATACGAGAGCGTCAGTTACCATTGAGCTGTTTGGCCCCGGACGGCCTGTAAACTCCACCGATTAGCCGCTAGTGCTTCATTCTTTTAGTTTATGCAGCTTATTGATGGGTCGCTGTGCTAGCCAATGTTATTTTGTTGGGCAGGGCACGGTGTTCACTACCATCTACCTGGTTATTGTTAGAAGAGCATCATGTTATTCACCTGGCTATACACCACACGTTGTACATGCGTAGCTCTCGCATGGTTGAACAGTAGCCTGAACACACTATCCGTTAGGAGAAGCATGTTGAAGATGTGGCACATCGTATCAGTGGTAAGAAAATCATGTTCGAGATGTGCGACATCGTAGAGTCGGTAGAAGTACGTTGAGAGCACCACATCGTATTAGCGGTAAGAGAAGCATGTTGGAGATGTGGGGGGAGAAGCATGTTGGAGATGTGGTGGGAGAAGCATGTTGGAGATGTGGGGGGAGAAGCATGTTGGAGATGTGGTGGGAGAAGCATGTTGGAAATGTGGTGGGAGAAGCATGTTGGAGATGTGGCGGGAGGAGCATGTTGGAGATGTGGTGGGAGAAGCATGTTGGGGATGTGGTGGGAGGAGCATGTTGGAGATGTGGTGCTGTCTCTTATACACATCTAGATGTGTATAAGAGACAGCTTCAGCCCCGAGATCACTATATTATGTTATGTTAGCGTGACGAATGAACTAATATTATTCCTTACTTTTTTAATNTCCTCAGATGTATGTGAAAAAATTTAAATACCTTGTTTCTGTCTCTTATACACATCTAGATGTGTATAAGAGACAGCTATTAAGTAAAATCTAAAGGCTTTATCTATAAATGTAGCGGTAGCGCTGTAGCGGCAAAACCTCGTATCGCTACTTAAATATGTAGCGGGCGCTACCGCTACCGCTATAATTGCTTAAATGTAGCGCCGCTACCGCTACCGCTACTGAAAATGTAACGCCCGCTAGTAGCGGCCGCTACATGTAGCGCGCTACTGTCCACCTCTGGATATCGCTGATATATCTGCACGAAACACTATATCGACTATGTCTTCTCGGTATCGCAAAAGAAACTTTCATCATATGCCTTCATGTCATCAGACACTATAGTAACACGGCAATATCGCCTCGAAATGGTCTCTTGATCACGAAACACGGTTAGAAACTTTACGGGCAGGACATATAAAGAACTTATCATTTGAAGCGTCATAATTCTCGTCTGAGAAAATCAATGGCAGTTTTTTTCCATGTTGATTTTGTACGTCTTCATGTCTCGATTATCTTCTCAGAATTCAGAGATATTCTCGATTATCTTAATTAAACGAATGGTTTTAATCTTTTCAACATGAATTGCAACATTTCTATAATCGTAATCTTCAAAACAGTTAACTTCAATTGAACCGGAGAATTGATGTTTTAAATTGTTTTCCGTCCAGCAGAAATCATAGTGCGATTTCCTGAATATAAATCTGAATTTAATTAAGTAACTATAAGATTAGAAGGCCAAGATTGGCTACCGAGGCGGTGACACCAGGCAAAAGCTTCACCTACACAGTCAAAGTTTTCGTTCCAATTAAGATTGCCCCCAGTGGTAATGGATTCGGATTAGAGGTGAATCACGTAAAGATCGGCCACGTACAGTGTTTAGCTTCTATTTAATAGCTTCTTTCGGAATCCAATTGCCCGGTGGGCGGAATCTGCGTAAAATATCTAAAAGAGCAGCTGGTCAAGCTTACCCATGAGTCCCCTGGTCAAACGCTGATGCGACTACCG